AAATGGAAAAACATACCATGCTCATGGATAAGTAGACTCAACATTGTGAAAATGACAATTCTACCCAAAGCAATCTACAAATACAATGCAATCTCGATCCAAATACCAACAACATTCTTTAAAGAGATGGAAAAAATAGTCATTAACTTTATATGGAAAGGGAAGAAACCCTGGATAATTAAAGCACTATTGATGAAGAAGAAAGTAGGGGGACTTGCACTACCTGACCTCAGAACCTACTATACAGCTACGGTAGTCAGAACAGCCTGCTACTGGTACAACGACAGATACACTGACCAATGGAACAGAACTGAGAACCCAGATGTAAATCCATCCACCTACAGTCACCTGATCTTTGACAAGTGCCCAAACTCCATCAAATGGGCAACTGACAGTCTTTTTACCAAATGCTGCTGGCAAAACTGGATGTCCATCTGCAAAAAAATAAAACAGGACCCATACCTCACACCATATACAAAAACTAATTCAAAATGGATCAAAGACCTAAATATAAAGTGAAAAACTATAAAGTTCATAGAAGAAAAAATAGGATCAACACTAGAGGCCCTAATATATGGCATTAACAGGATACAAACCATAACCAACAACACACAATCTCCAGGAGATAAGCTAGATAACTGGGATCTCCTAAAAATTAAACACTTATGCTCATCAAAGATATCACCAAAAGACTAAAAAGAGAGCCTACAGACTGGGGAAAAATCTTTGGTCATTACAAATCAGACAAACGTCTAATCTCTAAAATCTACAAGAAAATCCAACACCTCTACAACAAAAAGACAAATAATCCAATTAAGAAATGGGCAAAGGAATGAACAGACACTTCACCAAAAAAGACATTTAGGCAGCCAACGGACACATGAGGAAATGCTCATGATCACTAGCCATTAGAGAAATGCAGATCAAAACCACAATGAGATACCATCTCACCCCGGCATTACTGGCATGAATCAAAAAAACTGAAAATAACAAATGTTGGAGAGGCTGCGGGGAGATCGGAACTCTTAACACTGCTGGTGGGAATGCAAAATGATACAACCATCTTGGAAAACAATATGGCACTTCCTTAGAAAGCTAGGAATAGAAATACCATACAATCCAGCAATCCCACTTCTAGGAATATATCCAAGAGAAATAAGAGCCGTCACATGAATAGACATATGCACACCCATGTTCACTGCAGCATTGTTCACAATAGCAAAAAGACGGAAACAACCCAGATGCCCATCAACAGAGGAATGGATAAACAAACTATGGTACATGCACACAATGGAGTATTACACAATGGTAAAGAACAATGATGACTCTGTGAAGCATCTCATAACATGGATGAAACTGGAGGACATTATGCTGAGTAAAATAAGTCAGTCACAAAAGTAGAAATATTGTATGAGACCACGGCTATAAAAACTCGTGAAAAGGTTTACACACAAAAAGAAAATCTTTGATGCTTACAAGGGATGGGGCAGAGGGGAATACTAAATGGACAATAGATAAGTGGTAACTTTGGTGAAGGGTAAGACAGTAGACAATACTGGGGAAGCCAGCACAACTTGTACAAGGAAAGGTTATGGAAGCTCCATAGACACATCCAAACTTCCTGAGGGACCGAATTGCTGGGCAGAGGGCTGTGGGGACCATGGTCTCAGGGAACATCTAGCTTAATTGGTAGAACATAGTTTATAAAGAAAACATTCACATTCTACCTTGGTGAGTAGTGGCTGGGGTCTTAAAAGCCTGTGAGCAGCCATCTAAGATACTCCACTGGTCTCACCACTTCAGGTGCAAGGGAGAATGAAGAAAGCAAGATACAAGGGAAAGATTAGTCCAAAGGACTAATGGACCACAACTACCACGGCCTCCACCAGCCTGAGTCCAGTACAATTAGATGGTGCCCGGCTACCACCACTGACTGCTCTGACAAGGATTACAACAGAGGGTCCCAGACAGAGTTGGAGAAAAATGTAGAACAAAATTCTAACTC